CCSKTTAATTCATAACAAATTAATGTGGTTTTTCTGTCTGATTGCTGCAGGGCTGAGTCAGGAGCWGCAAAGCTGATAAGGTGCTGATCAGGAAAGATTTTCTCTGAGTCAGAGGAAASCAATCTCTTCTCCTTTCTCTCCAGGGATGAGGTGTGTCCTGTCAAACTGCAGCTTCCACTCTGAGTTTTATGATGTTTTTACAGGTAGCTGCGAGGAAAAACAAGACAAAGAGTCATTGCTCAGGCAGAGAATAGATAAACCTCAAGGTGACAGGCAAGAAAAAAGCAAATTATGGCCTCGTTTACAGAGCAATTCCCTGAGCCACGGGAGAGTTTCAAGGATTTGAGCCGTAACAATTCGAGCTGAGTCACCAAAAATGAAATATAATTGAGTCAGATGCTGGGAAAGGAACTCGAGGCTATTCCCCATGCTCTGAGTCTCTGTTAGTCAGTGTTTTCAAAGGGCTGGGTGCTCAATTCATCAAAATGAAGGAGCTGGAAMAGAATTCCCCGGAGGTTTTTATCAAGAAAAATATCAGTTCTTAAATACAGATTATTTGAASATATTTCATGGGGGACAAGTGGCACAGCTGATGGCAGCAGGGCAGATATCAGCTCAGTTTGTTGTAAAATATCCTTGGATTTTAAAGGCTTGGACTGTGGCCTCTGGAGAACAGAACTGGTGGATTAATGAACATGGAGAGGTGGATCAGCCCAACAAAGCCTTCCCATRTTTCTGTGGTTAAAGTTTAACCAGATTCTGGACAGAAAACGAGGCAGGTTTTTTATTACTTCAGACAGGCTGAGGAACTTCCCTTTATTCCTCAAAGCTTCAATCAAATCCTGACTGATCTCCACTGYGTTAATGAAGAATTGAGATTATTTAGGAATAAAAATTATATATTTATATATTCAGTAAAATGTGGGATAATTACATTATAATTAATAGAAATAGAAGATAAAGGAATCTTTGTTACTCTGCTCTGGCAATAAATTATTAATTGACATTCCAAGTTCCATCCCTAAAAAAATGGGGACTGGGTTTGTCTCAAATTCTGGAAAATTGGCTTTTCATTAAACAATGAAGGTTTTACTTGAAATCATGTTCTACTGTCATGGTTTAGTTCAGCTTGGGTTAAAAAATTGAATATTTTCATCTTTCTTTATAGTTCAGACCAGATTTTCTTCAGCATTTCTCCCTTTACTCATCCACTGCTTCACCAAAATGAATCCCTGCTCAAGGTATTTTATCTCTCCCTAATAAAATGAAAAAAGGAAGGAATTATTCTGTGAAAATCCGTGGAAGTTTATTGGGAATTAAAGCTCTTTCTTAGAAAATAACCTACTGACAGTAGATAGAACCTCCTTACCCCACCAAAACCCAACCCAACCCMGTGTTTTCCCAAATTTAAAGAATTTTAAAGGTTTTCCAAAGGGCTGCTTGGGCAGCTCCTGAGCACACTGGGGGGTTGAATGGAGAAGGAACATTTTGTACCTCTTTCCATCACATAGATGGAGATCAGCTATGGGTTTGAAGAGGGAAAAACAACAATTTAGCTTCTTCCAGGAGTGAGAAACACTCAGGGAACGTGCAGGGAACCAGCCCCGGGCTGGGGATGAGAGCGGAGCTGGGATCAGGGCAGCGCCGCTCTGGCACCGACCRTAAATCATCCCTGGACAATTCCCGCGGCTTTGCCAGGCTGCTTTGGCTGTCACCATGGCAACAGCTTCTCCCAGRCCAAAGTTCATTGATTTTCCATTTTTATGAGCTCTGCCTTTCCCTTGGAGCTCACCAGGACGGCTCCGCGCTCACAGGGAGCGCGACGCGGAGTGAACAGGATCACGGCGACAAAACCCTTGGAACCGGCGGGCAAACCCTTGTCAAGATGCCTTCCAGGAAGAAAAGCAGCATGTTTGGCTGTGCCTTCGGGAGCTGTGTGGGTTCCTTTGTGGTGATCTGCGTGGCGCTGGCCACCCCGCACTGGGCCAGTAGCCAAGAGCGCTTCTCGCGCCCCAACGGCAGCGTCACCATCAGCCTCGGCTACGGCCTCTTCCGAGGAACCTGCGAGCAGTTCGTGGATGCAGGGCTGCARGTGTCCCAAACCACCTTCCAAGGTGAGTGCTCAGATTTTTTCRGGCTGCTTGTATGTTTGCACACAGCCTAACACAGCAAGCCTCTGCTTGTGTTAGTTCTGCAAAGTGTTTATCTAGTCTTATAGTACAAATAGTATCAGAAAGGAGAATCAAAATTCAGATGCCACACCATAGTTCAAATGCAAGCAAATTAMTTCTTTGCTACAAGAGACACAAGTCTGAGCAAATAAATACTTACATCCTGCAATTCAGGTGAGAGCACAGACTGGAGTGATTTCATAGCAGGGCAGTCAGCTAAGAGACATTTCCAGCCTCAGAGAAGAACCTGAGGTTCTTGGAAAGATGCTATTTTAAAAAACTAAAACTAACTAACTAACTAACTAACTAACTAACTAACTAACTAACTAACTAACTAACTAACCCACTCAACAGAAAACCCATTTCAAAGCAACAATTTATCCCCTGGTTCTCCTGCCTTACTTTAATCCACCCTATTAAAAGCTATTCAGTACATCAACTTTTAACCCCAGCAGACTGTCAGGCAAAATTAAGACCATTTCCTCCACTGCCCTAGTTGTGGAGAAGTGTTGAAAAATAAGAATCTAAAACATCTTTGTACCATCAAGAAAGGCTTTGCAAGCAATACATGGTTTGCAGTGCTAATGACAGGCAGCAGTATGCAATTTCAATAGTTTGTGTTCTTTTTAAATAAATGAGATTCAGTTTTCAGCATCCTTGTCTCAAACCACCTTCCAAGGTGAGTGCTGGGGGGGACAGACACACATACACACAAAAATCGGTCTCATTTGTGCTTTTGTGTGTTATCGTTTGTGTTACGAGTTAATTTGTGTAACAGACAAGGGGGAAGGTGTCCTGATTCAACCCTTTAAATCTTGAGCACAGCCCTCTCTACTCTCTCTCTGGAATCTTCCATGGCTCCTCCAGCAGTKCTCTCTCGCTGATCCAAACATCCCCTTCCACAGCAGCTCCTTGCTGGACTCTTCATCCCAGATCTCACCAATTCTCCTCAGCTGGTTTCCCAAATGTCTCCTTTCAGAGCAGCTGAGCTCTTTTACTTTTATCTAATTMGTTACAAATCTYTGTTTYTYGYWGTAAAATGTCRCACACRRAAGTTGCTTATCCAGAACACTCAGGGTCCTAGTGAGGGGCTGGCTGTCTGCAGTTTTCTCATTGGCTTCCCACATTCATTGGCTACTGATCTCCTAAAATAAATTAATTGGCTGTTATTTAACTACAAGACATCATCATTGGTCACCTRCAGCATAAACACCCAAGCATTCAAAAAAACTCAGGGTACAGCCTCATTGCTGTATTTCTCCTGTTGACRCCATGTTCTCACAGGTAGAAATTCATTATTTTTCTCCTCACGGGTTTTTCTCACCAATAGAAGCTGACCAGATCCAGATTAAGATCTGGGAAGTGTTCAGGTCAGCTGTCAGCCTCTGAACTGGGCACCTGCAATGGATCAGAGCATCCCAGAGGGGTTTGGGTTCACAGGGAGCTTAAATCCCATCCCGCCCCATAGATCCTATCCCATGGATCCCATCCCATTGATCCCATCCCATTCTCATGGATCCCATAGATCCCATAGATCCCATAGATCCCATGTCATGCCATGCTATGCCATCCATCCCATCCCATCCCATCCCATCCCATCCCATCCCATCCCATCCCATCCCATCCCATCCCATCCCATCCCATCCCATCCCATCCCATCCCATCCCATCCCATCCATCCCATCCCATCCCATCCCATCCCATCCCATCCATCCCATCCCATCCATCCCATCCCATCCCACCCTTTTCCATCCCAGGCTGCTCCAAGCCCCATCCAGCCTGGCCTGGACACTTCCAGGGATCCAGGGCAGCCCCAACCTCCCAGAGAAACCCATTCCAGGGCTTCAGCAGCCCCACAGGGAGGAATTCSTTCCCAAAATCCCATCCAAACCTTCTCGAGCTGCTGTTGGATGGCTCTGTGTATTCACCTGCAGTACTTTAAGTGAGAATGAGAATAAGCACAAAAATCTCTGGGGGTTTGAGTGGTTTAAAATCAGACCCCCCACAAAAGCACAGAAATGCTGCAGCATTCCCAACAAGAACAACTGATCACCTGTRAGCTTGGCCTGCACCTCAAAACAGGGGAAAAAAACCACAAAATGGGAACTTTCTGTAAAACTGATTTTCAGAAGTTCAGTGAGGAGCGGAAAAGCAACACTCCCTACTTTATTAAGGGATTTACAAACCTAATTCACCTCCCAGAATTTTTTTTTTTATGATTTCTTTATGTTCATTTATTGTCTGACTTTAAACATTTTGCCACCCACCACCAAATTTTCACTGTTTTGGTAGAGAGAGGTTTTATGGCTGCTGAAGGAAAAAGAAAAAAAAAACCACAAGAAACAGCATTCAAAGGTGGATAAGGCTGAAAGCTCTGAGGGTTTGCACTTTTTTATCTGCCTTGCTGCCTCATCAAGGTCACAGCAATAATGCTGGGGACGCACGTGCAAGGGAGAAAAGCCACTCAAAAGAAAGCTGGCAAAAATTTGAGTACGTTAAATAATTTTGAAATAGGGAATATAGGTTTAAATTAGATATATGGACTAGCACAGGGTGCCCAGAGAAGCTGTGGCTGATCCTGGCAGTGCCCAAGGCCAGGCTGGACATTGGGGCTGGGAGCAGCCTGGGACAGTGAAAGGTGTCCCTGCCATGGATGGGGTGACACTGGATGGGATTTAAGGTCCTTCTAACCCAAACCATTCTGAGATTTGAAGATTCTTTAGGAAATATTTTCATTTTTGGTAGGATGTTGTAGGATGTCCCAGCACAGCAGCTCCAAACCTCGAGCTGATTTCTTCCCCCAGCTTCATTTACTCCTGAACCTGTCCCTGTTCCCACRGTGGCAGAGCTGTGTTGCACAAACCAAACCCCACGAGGATATTTGAGTTCCCAGCCAAAGGTGGAGCGTGGCCTGGGATCGTTACACAACCCCAAAATCACAAATTAGTCCCTAATTTAATCACAGCAGAATAATGACAGTGATTTTTACAGGGGTAAACAATGATAAATGAATGAATAAATGAAATAATTTATGTTTGGTTCTAGCCCCCCGAGCCCCACGTGGGCAGCTCTGGTGGATTTTTCTCGGGAAATGTGGGAAATGTGGGATCCTCCCCTGCAGAGCTGATAGCAGAGGAGGATCCAGGCTGGCAGCAGTCCAGGGATTGTGCCCTGCTCCTGTCTGCACTCAGCTCCCACAGCCCAGTCCTGGGCCTGGCTGCTGCCATCAGATCGATTTTAATTACAATTAATGAAATGAACTCACAGCATTTCTACTAAAGGATTTCAGTTCTCTGCATGGGGTTTTCCCCMCACCAGATTTGGGGTTTTGTGCTGATCATTTCTCAAATGTTGAGACAATATTTACCAAAAGTTATCTCAGCTCTCCCAGATCAGTTATTCGGGGATGAATAAAGGGAGAATCAGGAGCTGGGAGTTTCTTTCCACAGCTGCAGAGGAAAGTGATGCTYTGTGAATAATCAAAATATGGGTTTGTCCCCATCCCTCCCTCCCTCACTCACTCAGGCAGGTATCCAAGATGAGAAGARTTGATTTTAAATTAATTATTAGGCTCTGTACAAGATATGATGGTCATGTTTTAAATTAAGGATTATTTGCTGAAGGAATTGCTCCCTGTAGGGTGGGCAGACCTGGCACAGGGTGCCCAGAGAAGCTGTGGCTGCCCCTGGATCCCTTTGAGTGCCCAAGGCCAGACTGGACATTGGGACAGTGGGAGGTGTCCCTGCCATGGCAGGGGTGGGATGGGGTGATTTTTAAAGTCCCTTCCATCCCAGAGCTGTCTATTCCATGATTCTATTCCATATTTACTTCATTCAGGAAAAACCCTTCCCAGAACTGCGCACATTCCATCTTTATATTCACAATAATTTACATTCCAGTCCTCCCAAGGCAGGAGATGTGTTTCCTTTGCTGATATCTCGAATTAATGGATTTCCAGTGTTGTGGAAGAGCAAAGTGCTGAACTTCCTCTCCTCCAACCCCAAGAGGAGTTCTGAACCCCATTTTAAATCCCACTATGATTTCAAACCCACTGTGCACCCCACGTGCGTTTTTCAAATGGCACTGTCACCTTTGGGAGAGGGAGAAGAAGAAGAACAATCCCAGAAGGGTAATCCAAGGCAGACCTTGGGGATTATTGTCAGCAATGGCCCAGGTTGGCTTTTAGCAGTGGCCATTCCAAAGCAGATCATCAACAGCCTTCATTTAAAAAAAAAAACAAACCAAAAAACCCAACCAACAAACAAAAAAACCCACACAAAAAAACCCGCTTTTTTTTCAGAAACCACACTATTTACAGGAATTCCCCCATGTACAGATGAAAACCAAAATAATTGAATTTCTGCCAATTCATTTCTGAATTTCTGTGAATGGAGTGCCCAGCCAGGGGGKCTCGTTCCTAATAAACCCCTGCAGCCCCTGCCCAGGCTCAGGGCACTGTGGGGCCGGCAGAATATAAAGTTATTTATTAACCCAAGCCCTCGAAGCCTCCATGAGCTGTGGGAATGGTTTGTCTCAGGGAGGAGCCAGCTGTGAATAAAATGAGCTGTCACAGGGTTTGTTTACAGCCTGCACTGCTCCAAGTGAAACCTAARAGTTGAGCAAGACTCGGGAAGAGCCACGCCTGGAAAGTCCTGGAATGTCAGGATTTATCCAACCGTGGGCAGTCAGAGAGGCCAGGAGCACCCAAAGAACTCTGTCAGTGCAGAGGAATCTCTTATCTTTCTATCCTTCTAAAATATGTGACAAGTGCTCCAAAATTGCAGGAATTAATTCCTGTTATCATTGCTTTCCAGGGATCTCCTGAAAAGCAGGAAGCTCTGTTGAACTCTCCCTGGGATTTTTTGGTTGTTTGGGCTTTTTTTTTAAGGAGCAATTCCCAACGTGCCATGGGTGAGGGCAGGGCTATGAAAGCTGCTGGGAGAGCTGACTAAGGTCAGTAAAAAATCTGGGTTATCACAAAACCACACAATATTAAGGTTGGAAAAGCTCTCCAAGATAATTATTTGAGTCCAGTTTTAAGCACTAAACCCCAAAAAACCACACAATAGTAAGGTTGGAAAATCTCTCCAAGATAATTATTTGAGTCCAGCCTTAACCACTGAACCCGCAAAAAGTCTCCAAGGTAATTATTTGAGTCCAACTTTAGGCACTAAACCCCAAAAAACCACACAATATTAAGGCTGGAAAAGCTCTCCAAGATAATTATTTGGGTCCAGCTTTAACCACTGAACCCCAAAAAACCACACAATATTAAGGTTCGAAAAGCTCTCCAAGATAATTATTTGAGTCCATCTTTAAGCACTAAAAACCAAAAAACCACACAATATTAAGGCTGGAAAAGCTCTCCAAGGTAATTATTTGAGTCCAGCCTTAACCACTCAACCCCAAGTGCCACAGCCACGCACTTTTACAATTCCACGGGTGGTGACTCTCTGTTTCAATGCCTGCCCACCCTTTTTCTGGCATGAACCTCCCCAAATTTCCATTCTGGCTCTCACTGGGGTCATGTTCTGTCCCTGTTCCCCTGACCCCGCTGTGTTTCAGTCGCAGATGCTCTGAGTGGCACCACGAGCCGCGGGCTGACCGTGGCCACCATCGCTGTGCTGGTGTTAGCCCTGCTCTGCTCCCTGCTCAGCTCGGGCTTCACCTGCACCAACACCGTCAGCAACCCCTACCAGACCTTCCTGGGACCCCTTGGGGTCTACACCTGGAATTCCTCCTGTGGTGAGTGCGGGATCGTGGGGTTATGGGATGGAGATGGGAAAGGAAACAACGCAGAATGCGTTCCGTGTGTG